TCTTTAGTACTGGTACTAATTACACTTAGACATCATTAACATTAAACATCGCTAATGATTACCACTGAATCAGAACCATAGACTTTGTCTGAACCGCTTTCACAGCATATTTCTTGACGAGCAGCACCTTTATCCATGAATGAAGGTCCTAATTTTTTTTTGGACTCTAGGTGATGACTATGCTAATGTACAGCTAGTTAAGCTGGTCTGTCTGTATCAGTCTCTAAAGGCTGATTTATACTTCTGCTTCAAGCCTATGCCATGCCTAACATGCCTAAGATGATGCAAGCATTATTCTCGCGTGCTGGTGTGTATGTGTTGCTCAGCAATTACACCACCAGAACGCTACATAATTTTAAGTATTGCATTGATTGTCTTCCCACCCTGTGAAATATTCAATTGTTGAATCACGCAATTGAAATGGTGGGAAAAAAATTAACAAAGGATCCATTTTTTGAGTCCTGCTTATATTTGTACTGTTCCAAACTTCCCATAAAAAGATTTGGAAAAATGTTGAGCTGCTACAGTGAGCTGAGTAACTTTCTGTATTTTCTCTTCTAAACTTAGTATCTATGCTATTTTTAGATTTTTTTTAGTCTTATAAAATGTGAATAAATTTATGGAAATAAGTGAAATTGGCGCAGTTACCCTAAGAGTTTTGTAGACCTGTTGCTATGATGCCTAGGGTTGGTTATTTAATGCTAGATATAAATAATGCTTCAGTTTCAAATAGTGATATAAGTTCACCTGGGATATATGCTTTCTTTGCTCCCATGAAAACGACCAACCAAGTGGACTAATCACCGTTCTTGAAGTCTGCATTGCCGCAATGTAGTTACATTTCTGGGGAGAAGCATGTCAGGTTATGGCATAGAAAAGGTCTTATGAACGAATGAATTAGAGCGATCGTAATCTGATGCTTGCCAATACAGCGGTACCTTGTAACACAAGCTTAAATTGTTCCAGAGGGCTGGTCGAGGTCCAAGTTGCATTTCCCCATAAGAAATGAATTTAATCCGTTCCGGATCCATAAGTAATTGCCTACTTAGTTATCTACCTACCTGACTAATGATAAAAAGAATTGACAACCATTATAAAATACACACATGAAAAATTACACATACAAAAGCAATAAACATTAAATAAATGACAATCCCATACTCAAAGGCGAGAGCAGACACACAAACACCACCTTCAAGTCCTGCAATAATTTCCTTTCTAAGTATTACAGTTATTCTCACTATTTTCCTCTTTGGTTTGCTGCTATCACTGCTCTCTCTCTCTCGGGGGCCATGATTACTGTATCATTAAATATACTGTAGATAAAGCACAAAAAAATTCACATCGAACACCGGAACACAGCTTTCACACATTGAACTCGATCAGGAGGTTCCGCAAGACTGCGCATAAGTCATAGGCCTAAGCATCCCAGATAGACCCGAGATACTTGAACTCCTCCACTTGAGGCAGTACCTCTTCCTATGGTCATGAGCTATGGGTAATGACCGAAAGAATGAGATCGCGAATACAGGCAGCCAAAATGAGGTTTCTCCGCAGGGTGTCTGGGCTCTCCCTTAGGGGGATAGGGTGAGAAGTTCGGATATCCGGGTGGGTCTCAGAGTAGATCCGTTGCTTCTCCATGTCGAAAGGAGCCAGTTGAGATGGTTTGGACATCTGGTGCGGATGCCTCCTAGGCAGCTACCCGGAGAGGTTTTCCGTGCATGTCCTACAGGGAGGAGGTCCCGGGGCAGACCCAGGACACACTGGAGGGATTATATCTCTCGGCTGGCCTGGGAACGCCTCGGCGACCTCCCCGAGGAGCTGGTAGAGGTAGCTGGGGAGAGGGAGGTCTGGGTATCTCTCCTGAAGCTGCTTCCCCCGCGACCCGAACCCCGGACAAGTGGTAGGTAATGGATGGATGGATGGATGTTTTCTTTTGTCGTATTCCTGGTTTTATGTTGAATTGTGGCTAGATTTTTCTTGACCGAACCGTTCAAGGTAGAGTTGAAGGTTTCATAAAATTGAACAAACCTCTGCGATGTCTGATTTGGTCCTTAAGTGGCATTCGAGTTCCAGGATTCCACTGTATTAGGGTATGTGCTGGAGTGAAGTGGTGCGTACAGATTTTCCTTAATTAAACTGTACATGTGCATTCGTGCTGGGAGCGATCTGCTGCCAGCATGTCTTTCTAGCTTTGGTGGTAGCCACTGTATTGTTCTTTGACATTATTGTACTTTTGAATTCTTTATATTTTACAATAATCTCTGTTCTGCTGCATTGAAATGATTTGCCCTGTTGCCCTCCATGCTTTTATGATTGGCTGATTGTTGCAGATGGCATGCCTAACAATTTCACAAGGGATTTCGGATCAAATTTGCCTTTTAAAATGATAAACTTAGATTAGTGAACACAATGTGCCACTGGAACACAGGATTGGTGGTTGCTCTTCATGGGCACCTGTACGCCAATATAAATATCACATTAAAAATCTGTCATTTCCAGGTACCATAATCAACAATGTCTACACTATTTCTTAGCTTTAATGGTCAAAAATTGCTTTTCTTTTGGAAACAATTTAAGTCATCCCAAACTAGTGTATAAATATTTAGTTGAGTACGACATTTAAGAAATTGACATTTAAGACACACAAATACAGTTAACCCCCTAACTGGTGAAGAATGATTGTGCAAATATAAAACTAATGTGCAATAAATTAATAGGTTGTTTCAGAGTTATGTAATGACTAGAACTGAGTTTTTGGTGAAAAGACATTTATTGACCTTAACATTTCCAGTTGAAATATCAAGTAATCTGGAACAGGGTTGGTGCCATTCTGGAATACATTCATCAATTCCAGTTCCATTTCCTGATTTGGACTGGAATTGAGTAATGCATTCCAGAACGGCCCCAACCCTGTTCCAGATTACTTGATAGATAAACTAGAAATGTGAAAGTCAATAAATGAGGAGAATGAGACTGGACTTGCCCACATTCCAAGATTAAACTGTTTCTGATGAATTTGCATGATGTTTGTGTGAGGAACTTTCAGATTTGGGTGCGACTGCTGATTCTGATGTAATGTGGGAGATCTTCCGTAATAAGACCCTGAAAGTTGCTGAGGCTTGTGTTGGTGTTGCCAGTGTTCCAGAAGCAGGTGTTTCATCTCGCAGGGCACCCTGGATATTATTGAGAGGAGTTGCAGCACACGACTTGGTGGCAACTCCAGTCTGTACCGGGAACTGAGGGCTTTGAGAACAGATATGGAAGCGTTTGTTAGACAAATTTGTGAGCAGGTGACACACCATCTGTGTTCTAGTGACCCACATCCTGCTTACAGAGGAATCAAAGCATTACGCACATCTGAATCTCTTCCTAGGAGACTTGCAGATAGGGCAGTGATGGAACGGTCCTTATGGATGACACTGCAGTGAACATCTCCAGACTGGTGGCAAGGTTGTCCTCCTGGCATTGCAGGCAATCTTTTCTTCCATTTGGGAGTCAGGCGTCATCCCAATTGACTGAAAAACGAGACTTGTAATCCCTATCTGGAAAGGGAAGGGTGATCGCCTGGGTTGCGGCAACTACAGGAGGATAACACTGCTTTCAGTGCTGGGTAAGGTCCTTGCTAGGGTCATCCTTAACAGGATCCGTGATCACTTGCTCACCTGTCAGCAACTGGCACAGTCTGTTTTTATGGCTATGAAGTCTACCATCGACCGCATCCTGGCACTGGTTCTCATCGAGCACAAGCACGGAAATCGGCAGAGGTTCTTTGCAGCCTTTGTCGATTTTTGTAAAGCGTTCAACTCAGTTGATCGCGTTGCCCTGTAGGACATCCTGAGGCTTTGTATGATCCCCCAAAGTTGCAGGACGTCATGGCCATCCTGTACAGTGGTACTGGGAGTGCTGTGCAGAGTGAAGGGAGAACCTCCGCATTCTTCCCAGTGGATTCTGGGGTTCGCTTGTATGGTGTGGGTTTTGGGCAGGGTCATGGGGTCCGGCAGTTGTGCGGCATCTGTTGATAAAGATTTACTGATCTTGACTTTACTGACAATGCTGTGATCTTAGCAGAGTCAATTGAGCCTCTGATTGGAGCTCTCAATAGACTGAGCGAGGAGTCTGAGTGTCTGGGATTGCGGGTGTCCTGGATAAAGACCAAGATCTAGGCATTGCTGAGGACCCGAGCGGCTGGACCAGGCTGAGGGGTTGCCCACGTAACACCTGGCTGTGGCAGATGGATGGCCATTTCCGGAGTGTGGGACTGGACCGTGTGTCTGCCTGGGGGGTTGCTAGCCGGGATCCTGGGGAGTTTTGCCGTGTGGTGGGTGTGGCAACACACTGTATCTGCACATACTCTCCAGCCTGACCTGACCTTGCCTGAGTTAATGATATTTGAATTAATTAATTGAACTTTATCCTGGTTCGCAAAAAAAAATAAAAAATGAAATGGTTCCCTGTATCTGACTAAGGAGGGAATGATTATAATAGGTGGTCAAAGATGCTTTTAATTCTTCCTAGTTTCATACATTTCCATTGCTTTTATACTAAACTGTTTGTGCATAGTACATCATTATGTCGTGCTACTTTTAGAAAACTACTGATATTCTGGGCCATTATCAGGCCTGTGATAATATGGGTTCAAAGCATTATATTAGGAAAGATAAACAGGTGTGAATCTCACAACATACTCAATGAATTCTACAATTTGTGCTCCCTTTGTGCATCATAAAGATTTGATGTTCTGCTGATGCATTAGCATTTCTTCCAAGTTCATGAGTTTTTTTCCTTTTTCCTCAGTGCCAATGGTTTTGCATTTTTATATGCTTATATTGAACTTTATAACAAACACATATGCACACAATATTTTTATAACTAGAATCAGCTGTGATTTCCTAAATGCATTATAAAATGCAGAACTGCATTGTTAATTTGTACATTTTGGATGCTATTATGCTTGTATAAACAGTGGATATTCTTTTATTTTATTTTTACTTTTTCAGGTCTTCGATAATTATGCAGTAACTGTCATGATTGGTGGAGAACCGTACACTTTAGGGCTGTTTGATACTGCAGGTATAGTATGACTGGGTGGGATTTCAACCATATCTGACCAATCATCTATTGTAATTGGCCATGAAAGAAAAGGGCTTTACCTTTGTCACATACCATTTAGCAGTCATCCTGTAGTCCTCTTCAGAAAGTTTGTGCTGTCAGGGAATCTTGAAAAATTCTTGGGTTTTGGTATTGGATGTGATGTCCCTGGGCCAGTCTTCTAATTTGTATTTATGTACTTTTCCTGATTCTGGTTTGATATTGCTGTTTGGATGTTATCAGGCAATGTATTAACTAGGTTTCCCTCCTCCACCCAAGGTCAGGAAGACTACGATAGGCTACGACCACTGAGCTACCCCCAAACAGATGTCTTTTTAGTCTGTTTCTCTGTCGTTTCACCTTCATCTTTTGAAAATGTTAAAGAAAAGGTGAGTATTGCTTCTTTTTTTTCTTTTTTTTTAAAGATTTTTTGGAATTCTGAAGAAGTGTATAGTGAAAATATTGCTTCCTGCTTTGCAGTGGGTACCTGAAATAACTCACCATTGTCCAAAGACCCCATTCCTGCTGGTTGGGACACAGATTGACTTGAGAGATGACCCATCCACAATTGAGAAACTTGCAAAGAACAAACAGAAGCCCATCACCCCAGAGACTGCTGAGAAGCTGGCTCGTGACCTAAAGGCAGTCAAATATGTTGAGTGCTCTGCTCTTACCCAGGTAAAGCCACTCTGAAAGTAGTAGTAGTTGTTATCCCGTTTTTTTTCTTCAGGTTTTGTGGTAGTTTGGCTTCAGTCTGCAATTATAAGCAGGATTTTGTTGTTACACCTGAAACATTGGTCATCTGTTTATTAAGAATTTTATAATTACTATTGTTCATTTACTGTTGCTTGCTGGAAGACACCAAGGCTTTTTAATGGTACACATTTACCTTTAAGCATTATCTTCCTACAGTCCTGTGTCATATTTTGTGTGTTGTTATGGGTGCCATATACTATATGGACAAAAGTATTGGGACATGCCTCTTGAACATTGAATTCAGGTGTTTCATTCAGACCCATTGGCTTAGGTGTATAAAATCTAGCACCTAGCCATGCAGTCAGGTTTACAAACATTTGTGAAATAATGGGTCATTCTGAAGATCTCAGTGAATTCAAGAGTGGTGCTGTCATAGGATGCCACCTTTGCAATAAGTCAGTTTGTGAAATTTATTCCCTGCTAGCTATTCCACATTGAAGTGTAAGTGGTATTATGCCAAAGTGGAAGCATTTAGGAACAGCAGAAACTCAGTCACAAAGTGGCAGACCACATGAAGTAAGAGAGTGGGATCGCCGGCTGATGAGGAACATACTGCGTAAAAGTCGCCAGTGCTCTGTTGACTTACCTGCAAATTCCAAACTTCCTCTGGCATTAACCACAGCATGACAGCTATGCACCAGGAGCGTCATGGAATGGGCTTCCATGACCAAGCAGCTGCATTCAAACCTCATATCACCAAACACAATGCCAAGTGTTGGATACAGTGGTGTGAAGCAGCATGCCGCCACTGGACTCTGGAGCAATGGAAATGTGTTTTGTCACTCCACAGAACATGATTCTGTGTCTGAAAGTCTGATGGACGAGCTTGGGTTTGGAGGATGCCAAGAAAATGGTACCTGCCTCAGTGCATTGTGCCAGTTGTCATGGCATTTCATGCACATGCAAATTTCACATTGCAAGAACCGCAATAATCTGCTTGATTGAGACCGTAGTTGCTAGAGAACATTTTTGCCAAGACACACAAAACTAAATTTAGCAAGCTTTGCAATTTTAATGATGGTCCCTTTTCAACATTGTCTTGTATACATTTAAAAAAAAGTGTAAAATGTCATCGCTTCTTTTGCATGAACTCTACAGCAGTCTGTGAAACACTCATCATTCTCGTCCTTACTGTTGAAGTTACTCATAGACTGTGTGGACTGTTTATGAGAAATTAAACATCAATTGATGAAAAGAAGAAAAGTGAACAAGAACTGGTTATGAATGTGCATTAGTCATCTGCTGTATGTAAATACTTTGTATTCCATAGTGATATTGAGTGAAAGTAAGTGATTCGTCTGTACTGCTTTGGGCTCTATTTTGACGGTCTAATGCAAAGTGTAAAGTGCAAAGGGTAACTAACATTTTTAGGCGTGTCCAAATCTATTTAGCTTTTTTGATGCCGGAAAAAACAGACTTTGTGCCAGTGCAAGGCACAAAAAGTTGTCCTAACGCTCTTAATTATTCAGAGGTGTGTTTAGCACATAACATGCAATGACCCAATCAGAATGGTGTGTCACCTCAACTTTAAAAGGTAGCGTTGCTTGAGCTATGGCGGATTGCTATTACAATGGTGTGTTTACCCGGCAAACAAGATTGCTTTTTGCCAAAGGAAATGGATATGCTCATGCATGAGGTGAAAAGATGTGAGCTTATCTACAGGAGCACCACTGTTTCACCAAAGCCTTTTCGAGGTGAAGCAGCCGTGAGGTGAGGTATCAGCGTGTGTCCTCGTTTTCTGGCATCACCTGATCATCCACTCAGTACTAAAACCGGCATGATGATGTCAGAAGATGGGGGGAAAACAGAAGCTTGCTGCTGAATGAGCACGGAGGCTGGGAACGAGGACTCAATTATGCTGTATTTCTCATTTATTTTTAATTTAAATTTTGGGTCTGCAGTTCGCAGAGTGGTGGCTCTGAGGCTAGGTATCTGTGCCCGCAACTGTAAGGTTGCTGGTTCAAATCCCATGAATGCCCAGAGTAATTCTTCTCCATTGGGCCCTTGAGCAAGGCCCTTAACCTGCAATTGCTTCATCTTGGGTATGATGTTAATTTACATTCAGCCCTATAAGGAGGTCCTCCAATTACAGGGAAATTCTTTGGGGTTGGTGGCAGGATTGGCACTGTAGCCACTGGAAAAAACTCATACTGGTCCATTCGTACTGGTGTGGTGCTGACCCGCCACATGGCTGCACTCAGGTTCTCACCCCTGAGGTGGTTTGTCATGTGATGGATGCGGCAACGCACTGTATCAGTGCATGATCCTTACCTCAGTTCGCAAAATATACATAAGTGCAATCAATCTGTGTTCAAACAAAAAACCTACAGTTGTTAAGGTGTTTCAAAAGGCTCTAGGACTGTTATTTTTTCCATTATTTCCATTACTGCTTCTCACAATTTAGATTCCTTACCAGGCTACAGACAATTCAGTCAATGCCACAGACATGTCCAATAGACATCCAGCAACATTGCAACATGCCGCAAAGAATGCTGCGACCTTCTGATGGCTGTATTGTGATGTTCCACCTGACATCTAAATATCTGGAATGCATTTTCGGCAATCAAAACTGTCCTTTCAATAACAGTACATGCCCAATTCTGATAATGAACTAGATTTTTTCAATGATATGGTTTGTTTTCTACTTAATACATATTTTTTCTTATTTCATTGAACAGTATGATTACGTGAAAAGACCAGGTGTACTCTACTGTATAATGAAACATATGTAAGTGAAATAAACTAACAAACCATTAGTGCACTTTGAATGCATATCTGTGTCAGTAACGAGCATCATGCCCCCGCACGTTTCTAAAACGGACCTCTTAAATACTGTTTAACGATGTGCCACTGACTTTAGATGCGCTTTTGACCAACAAAAATCATAATGTCATTTCGTTGCCTTAAAATAGCAACACACAATTTGCCTGGCTACGCCGCATTTAAAAAGCACCGCTCCTACAAGCAGGAAGTGGGCGCAAAATCATTTGCTATTTTGACGACATGCGCGCATGGTGTGAAAATGAGCAATGCGCTAGTACAAAATGAGCAAATCCACTTTGCTTTGCGCCAGTGGAAAACTGGACCCTATGTGTGTCTTGGTACAACTTATGGCACACCACCAACTTATTTGACACACTGTTGGCAGAAAATGTTCTATTTGGCTATTATTTATAATTTACAATACAAGTACAAAGAGTGATGAAACAACGTTTCTCCATTGCCCCGGTGCAACATATACACTCACCTAAAGGATTATTAGGAACACCTGTTCAATTTCTCATTAATGCAGTTATCTAATCAACCAATCACATGGCAGTTGCTTC